GATATAATAAAAGAGCATCAGTATTAAAAATATTATTTGTGTTATATTTTAATTATATGATTCTTTACAAAACACAAGTTACACTAGAAACGTATTTTACTCAAATAGAAATGAAACAATAATGCAAAGTAAGAAGGAAAAAGTACAATATATATTAATAAAGAAGTGAATGCATTTACTGTTTACTAGGTTATTGAGAACAACGATGGAGCACAACTTACATGTTACTGTGCCGATGAAATGACTAGTGTATTACGTAGAAAATATTTTCACTATATCTTAACACAAGTGCGCTAAAACTTTTAATTTATGCGCTTGTTAATTCAATGAATTTCTTAATTTAACTACATCAGTTTAATCCACGCGTCGCTTTATACACGTTGGATTCTGTCAAAAGCCCGGAATCCCAGCTGGCGTATCCCGATTGGTTCTACGTACTGTGACTCACATTTAACATAGTGTTTCGTGATTGGTTGCTATGAACTGGTAAAAAGTGAAAAAGAGGATTGACCGAAGGGTTTACACATGTAAACGCGCGTGCACACAAGAGTAAACTTTGGAGAACACGTGTACCCTTTACAATATGGCGCCGCGCAGAGAATTTCGATTTAACTCAAATTCAGTAAAAACATCAAAGAAAAGTACCAAGAATTGGTACGAAAGTTATTTAGAATGGGGAAAATTCATTTCCTTGTTCACAGATCCAAAGAAGTTATTTTTAATCGGAAGACTGTTCATTATTTTGGAAATCATTCTGAATGTATTGGTTATCGAAAAGGTACCATACACAGAAATCGACTGGAAAGCTTATATGCAAGAAGTCGAAGGTTTTTTGAATGGAACACTGGATTACTCGAAGTTGAAAGGTGACACTGGACCATTAGTCTATCCTGCAGGATTTATTTATATATTTTCTATATTATATTTCATCACGGGACGCGGAGCAGAGATAAAAATAGCACAATACTTCTTTGCAGTTCTTTATATTGTACTACTTACATTGGTTTTCCGAATTTATGCAAAAACTAAAAAAGTTCCTCCATATATTTTGATCATTTTGTGTTGTACATCTTACAGAGTTCATTCTATATTTACTTTAAGGCTTTTTAATGACCCAGTTGCAATGGTGCTATTATTTGCAAGCCTTAATGCATTTTTAGATGAACAATGGTATTTGGGAAGTATTCTCTACAGTATGGCTGTATCTGTAAAAATGAATATTTTGTTATTTGCACCAGCACTTCTTATAGCTTATATATGTAATCTAGGTATAATCAGAACAATAGTACACTTATTCATCTGTGCCTTAATTCAGCTAATATTAGGTCTTCCTTTTTTAATTGATAATCCATTTGCATATATAAAAGGTGCTTTCAATTTTGGAAGAATTTTTGAATTCAGATGGACTGTGAATTGGAGATTTCTACCAGAAGATGTTTTCATTCATCCATATTTTCATGTATCACTATTAGCATTACATGTATTAACCTTGATTTATTGCATACCAACATGGATAAAATATATGAAATCATATGCAAAATTAAAACATGTGGAGAAAAGCTTACAGCCCCAGCTAAAAAAGAAAGAAAAAGTAGATATGTCTACAGTAAGTCAATTATTTATTTTTCCAATGTTTGCTGCAAATTTCATCGGTATGGCATTTAGTAGATCATTGCACTATCAATTTTACATATGGTATTATCATACATTACCTTATATTGCATGGTGTACAGATTATAGGACTGTGATAAAATTGACCATTTTGGGTGTAATAGAATTATGTTGGAACACTTATCCAAGCACTGTTTTTAGTAGTGTTTCATTACATATATGCCATTTGATGTTATTGTTTAGTTTTATAAAAGATAAATCTAATAGGGAAAAAGAAAAATAAATATTTTAAAATATCAGGTGTCTACTTTTCCTTTTTTCCTTTCCATACTGTTATTTAACTTTGAGATCAACTATATTATTGATATATTTTACCACATGTATATCCAATATGTATTTTTAAACAATTAGTTTTACATTCTATTTAATAAGTTATGTAGGAACTAAGACTGTATTATTGAATTTTGAATCAAATTGAATTATTGTATAAAAAACAAATATAATTATAAATGTAAAATTGTAAATATATATATACATTGTTAAAACAAAATTGTTGCTGCAATTATTATATTCTTCAACCAATGAAAGTAACATAAAAGGAAATAAAAATAAAAATCAAAGTAATTCCCTTTTTTATGGAATCTTTATTTCATATTTGAAAGCTGTAACTAAAGATAATTTCTTGATTGTACCCAATAGGAAGTTCCCTTTTTGACAGAACGTCAGGAACACGTGATTACGCGACTCTTCGAAAGAGTAGAATATTCGTCAATATCATAGTATATATTTCCATCTGTTTTCATAGATTTAATTTATCAGTTATAAAATAATAAATTTATTTCAAAAATTTAATAGTACATAAACAAAATTTTTACATTAATGGCATGATTGTATAATATACAAATTTATTGACATCTAACCTACTCTAAGGTTTCCGAAATAAATCCAAATTTTATAAATATACATACATTTGTTTAAGCACTTTAAAATTGCTTTGATTATGAGTTCTGGAGGTATATATTTTACATCTTTAAATTTAATTTTTTTTTGTAAAAGTAAATGTAAAGTAATAGCACCTACTTGAAGATAATTGTATCAAATTATGTTATAGAAAAATGTAAAGTTTCATCATCTACAGACAGCGTTTTTGATCAAAATTATACTGTATATAAATCTCAATTTGTTGGAATTGATAATAAACCTTATGCTGCAAAATGTCTTTTGTGTGATGTAAAATTTACTCTTCCTGAGAATGAGAAAGATCTTTTAACTCATCTATTTAAGGAGCATCGGCTTATAATAGGAGATACTTGGAAAATTGCTAGTTTAAAAAGGTTTGATTAATTTATATAAAATTATGTATTTTATATCTGTTAAGAATTGAACCTTTGGAAAATTATATATTTTGAATTACTTTCAGTTATATACATTATTGGGGTGTTAAGTTCAGAGAAGAGCCTTTAACTAAGTTTTGTACAACAATGTTAATGGATTGTACTCCTGATGGGAAACCAAGCAAAAACGAAACATATTTTTTACTTTCTGATTGTATTTCAGAAGATAAAGTCTTAAGAGAAGAAATACATTGTGCCAGACTGGTATGAATAGTTTTATAAATTTTATATAAATTTTATTGTGCAGTATAAAATACTGATTTTAATCTTTCAAGAACTGGGTTTTATCAGAGCAAGCAAGAGAAAGGACAGATACCAAGTTTAAACGTGGTTGTATTTTCTGTAGAATGGAATTTTCAGGGTTACGCATTACATACATAAAACATTTGGCTCAAAAACATAATTTATATCTTGGAAAACCAGACAATTTGGTATTCATAGATGACTTTTTGGATAAAATTCAAACTACTATTGAAAAGTGAGAGATATATATAACATAATTTAATTAAGCATCTATTATTTTAGAATAAATACAATTTTTCTTTCAGTTTGATATGCATATATTGTGAAAAAGTATTTAAAGATCGTACTGTATTAAAGGAACATATGCGTAAAAAGCTACATAAAAGGATAAATCCCAACAATGTGGAATATGATAAATTTTATATAAATAACTATTTGGTATTTTATTATCTAAAAATGTTTATAATCAATATAATAACTAGTTTACTTATGAAATATTGAGAAATGCACATTTTAATTCTATTTTCAATGTATTTAGAGTAATTTACCAGAAAATGATGTAGTAGAGAACCAGAGCAGTGAAAATGAGGATGAGGACACATGGTCTGATTGGAATGATGAAGATATTGGTATATCATGTTTGTTTTGCAGTTACAATGACAAACACTTCCATCTTATTCTTACACATATGATAACAGACCATGATTTTGATTTTAAAATTGCATCACAAGGTTTAACATTTTATCAAAAAGTAAGAGTTGCATGATATATGGATACAGTGAGAAAATATTAATATATAAGTTGCTAAATTATAATTTTGAAACAGGTAAAAGTGGTAAATTATGTGAGGAGACAAATTCATTTACAGCAATGTGTTTTTTGTGAAATAAAAGCTGATAATGTTTTGGAGCACATGAAAAATGAAAATCATTTTAAGATACCTACACAGAAAATTTGGGATCAACCAGAGTTAATATTTTGTATAATATGAAATCAATTTATTGCATTAATTGGAATTTATATATTAATGATATAAAATTTCAGATTTTATTTCCCAATGTGTGAAAATGATTCCTTTCTATACAATTTGGATACAAGCAGTACTAGCGACGAAGAAAGTGACGTTGAAACTGCTACAGAAGCAATGTATGAAATATTTACATAATAAATATTTTACAAATATCAGAAAATATATTTCTGGTTATTTGCTTTCAGGGTGAAATTATGAGTAACATTATTATAAATATTAATCAAAAGAAAATATCTGCAGTTAATGAAAATTTATAGAAATATCTACAATATTGTTATAGTATATCTTTGTATTATATTCTTCTGTAAGAAGAATAAGTAAAAAAGTATAGAAGTATTAATGAATAAATTATGAGCACCACGTATATAAAACTTTCTTTATCATTAGTGTGAATGTAGTTTTGGTATTATTACTCTAAATTTAAATGAATTCATTTTTATGTACTTTTACAGAAATTAGATTGATATTACTATTCAAATAATTTTGTGGAAGGAATATTAAAATTAAGCTATAAAATGATGCAAAATAAAAATAAAGAAGAATTATCAAGAAAACATGGTTATTCAAACCCTTCTAAGAATGATTGTATTAGAATTAAAATAGTGGGTATCATAAATACCATTGCTTTTCAAAAAGCGCGGATATGTGCAGAAAAATTATATCAACATTTACCATTTATATTTTCATCACCACAAATTATAGAAATGTTTCAAACAGATTGGCACGAATATATTAACAAAATGAAAAGGGTAATAAATTGTTATTATACTTATTAAATCATATAATGGTATTAATATTTGTTAATTATAATTTACACATATATGTTTTTAGCAAATTGGAGGTAGAATGTGGTCATTAACACAAACAGTAGCAGTTTTTATAAATGATGAATTTCTTGGTAGTGATGTGGAACTTTTACGTTATCTAAGTCGAGATTATATTTTTAGTTTACCTGTTGGAATAGAATACTATGAAAATCGTGCCATAGAATGCTGTAAACAATTTATGGAAAAATCTAAA